TAGTTTCAGAAAGAAAAAGAACATAAGGATTATAAACATGCACAAGCCTTTCCAAAGACTGAATTGTCAAAGCCGGACCCAAACCTTGACAATTCCAAGCTAGCACCGTCATGGAGGGGGTTGGGGCCACTCGCGGCTGGCTACCTCCATAGTTTCCATATTGGTATCAGACTCCAAATGAAGCCTCTTCACCGGGTGATCATCATCCTCCAAAGCCCCGGGATCCATGCTAACTTGCTGACGCGAACCATCCTCTAATAGAGGGGTGCCTGTGATTTGCAGCTGAGGCAGAGCGGCTGTCATCTCTTCAAAAGACCTTTTGTTGCAGTCAACTTCCATATCAGCATCAGTCAGAGTCATCCGGAATGCAGGACGGGGAACAACAAAGGAGGATCCCAAATCCACCTCACCATCAGAATCCGAATCAACTTATGTGACTACAACCTTGCCTTTTCCATTCCTGTCTGAAACAGACTGAGTAGTACGATGTCCATCAGATCCCCTGCCCATCGCAGAAATGCGCAAAGGAGGAAGGATTGTCCTCAGAGGAACTGGATTTTCGACCCGGACAGACCGAGGAGCAGACCTAGCAGCATAGGGCGGAGCAGGGTGACCAGCAGGAATACCTTCAGTGCCCGCAATAACTGTCTGAAAATGCCATGGATTAGGGTCAGGATCAGGAACTGAATCCCCACCAGAATCCCTCGCAACACGACCTCTGCCCCGAACACTACCGTTACGAGGATGGACCCAAATAAATCGCCACGGCCCCGACCATGGCGGGGAATCGCCAGATGACCCTCAGGAAGCAGAGTATGCTCATTGAGAAGAATTCCATGTGGCCTAACTGACATGGAAGCATCATACACCTCTGAACCAGGAGGCGGCGGAGGAAAGTGACATTGAGCTTCGCCATGACCAAGCCTCCCGCAGTGGAAATAGAATAGTGGCAGATATTCATATTCAAGGTTCGCCCAGAAACCACCCAAGTTCTCATTTTGACCATATAATCTTGACTGGAGAGGCACTTTAGCATCAATAAATACTTTGGCTTTGATGAAAATTTTCACTTTGACCAGGATTATCCGCAAACAAGCCTATCTCTCGGCCATCAACCCCCCATCCATGTGGTTAGCAAATCGCCTCCCCAGATTCAAAGTGCACAGATGGGGTGGAATTCTGGACATATAAACAAAGAAAGGGACACGAGCAAGTTCCCTTACCAGATTCGGAGTGATCGGTGCCCAAGAAACCAGATGGAGGACAAAATCTTTAACCGTCCAGGGGGACCGGCGAACAATCCGCTCCCGCACATGATCATCAACCACAATGAATCTCCATAACCCATTCCCAACCTCATGCACAATGATCGGACAAACCTTCGTGCCCCACATTCCATTAGCCACATTATTCATCGTCACCAGCGATAACGGACGCAGCGAGAACAAACGACCCACCAAACTGATCTGCGCCTGAGCCGGACCAATGTCCACATCCGAATCATCAAAATCAACGACCTGGTCAATATCCATTGGATCCATACTGACCACCAAGTGATGGATGGACTGACGGGAGAACCAATTGAAGAACCAAATCAAAGTGAATGAAAGACTGGAGAAAAAGACGATGTAGAGAAGTTGAAACATGGGACTCCCCAAATGAAACTGGACATAAATCCCACAGAGTAACTTCCTCTTTTGTAAGACAACTACCCACAAAGATTGACAGTTGAAGTTCAAATGCAGGTGTTGTGGATCTCGTTATGGGCTTTCTTTTCGAGTCCGATGAATTTGTGGAGATGGCTCCATTATCATTGTCACTGATGTGTGTTCATGGCATACTCGTTAGAGCATTCATATTCATGTGTCTCACATTAATTTAATTCACTTGCAATTGTAATTGATTTTTTAATTTAATTACAAAAGCATAAACACTTAAATAACACAAATAATAAATAATTTAACGATAAGAAAAGAGATAATGTGGCTTGCAAAAATGCAATCGTCATCTACATCAATGTAATTTCAAAATAATATCATGTCATAATGCAATTCTAATATGGATGCTCTTAAAAGTGGAGTTGCGACCTTCTGTCAACTTTTCATATAAAATTTTATTTGATTAAATACAATTTATTAATCGAACATTTAAAAAAATTAACTTATTGGTCAAAATTTTCAAAATATAAATAATTAGCCAAACTTTACCTTCCGTTACCAGTATTTTATTTAAGAAAATAGATACAAAATCATTATATATGGCTAATATTTAATGTGTTACATAACATTTGGCTAATAATTTTTATTTTGATAATGGTGAAAATTGCATTGCCAAGAGAACGGAATACAAACAAAAAGGCGATGGTTCAAGGGGATTGAACCAAGACCCAAGTTCGACGAGCAACAAGAATGAAAACAACTCGAGTCAATCCGCTCCTAAAGCAAGGAAGCAGAAGAACAAGCAGATCGAGCCCAAGAACAGCCACTAAGCGGACTAGTCCGCTCCTGCAGCTAAACGCAGAGTACAACCAAGCAAACACTCGGACCAAGAGACAGCTATGGGAGAACAACAGAACAACTACAAAAGACCCGGGAAGTCAGAGAGAACGAACAGAATTCCAAGAGAAACCAAAAAGAAAAAGACGGGAAGCCATCTGCAAGGAGCAACCACCGAGAAGGAACAGCGCCCCAACAGTTCCTGAGAGGAAACCAGTCGACCATCTGGGCCCAGCAGAAGCACAGCGGAGCAACACACCAGTGCTCCACAAAATCTCATCAGCTCGTACCAATCCTACTTTCAAGCCACCTGAGACCCTCCTCTTTGTCAATTTTGCCATTGACCAATAATTTTAAAATTTAAAAGGTTTTTTTATGAATAAGTTAAATTTTTGTCGAATTAATTGTGTTTACTATTTTTATTCTATTAAAAATAGATAAAGACGTGCTCCAGTTCAATTTTGGTCATGCGCCATTTCATAAATAAATTTTGTCTTACGACTAAATCTTGATTGTGTAAGTTCTAAATGAACTTTAGTTGGGCTATAGGTATAATATGCCCTCTACTATGACGTTTTATCAACCATGCTCCTCTACTATTTTTTACATCAAACATGTCTCTGTACTTTGTAAAAATGATCAAACATGCCCTTTTGTTATAATTTTCATCCAAAAACCGTTAACCAAGGCCGAACTTTAGTTTGAGCGACATAAATAACTAAAATATCCCTAATAAACTCACTTTAGATTTTTTCGGTTCTTTTGTATAATCAAATCATTCAAATAATTTCACTTTGAAAAGACCCATGAAAATAAAACAGGGGACAAAACTGACATTTTCCCTCTCATTTGCCGATGTCGGGTCGTCTAAATCTCAATTCAACCATGATTGACGATTTTTTTTCAATGGAAATTTTAACATAAGGGCATTTTTTATAATTTTTTCGAAGTACAGGGGCATATTTGATGTAAAAAATAGTAGAGAGGCATGTTTGATAAAACGTCATGGTAGAGGGACATATTATACCTATAACCCAACTTTAGTTAGAGTATGTTACAAGGCTATATTAGAATTTTATAAAATTGGCTGTAATCTTTTCTTTTTTTCTCCAAGCTATAAAAAGGATATAATCTTGTAAATTACAATTGATTTATATTTTTGTGAAAAAAAATAAATCTAAAATAAAACAGATGATATAATCAATTGAAAGGATATAATAATATTGGGTTGGAAGAGTTCCTTGTAGTTGTATGCTTGTAGCCACTGAATAATGAAGTTAGGACTCTCTCACAACTCGAGAGTGAGCATATGAGGTTGGACTTTTTTTTACTTTTTTCTTTTACTTTACATGTGAAAACTGAAAAATAGAGTGGAGCCCCCTTGGTCCGATTCAATCAGTATCTTTCTTGACGAGATACTTTTAACCCAATAAACAAAAAATTCACAAATCACACAAACTTTACTGTCAATTTTTTAACCAAAACAAACACAAAATTTATTTAAAACCCACCACCTTTGAAATTTGGATAACAAGCCCATCATCCAAATCCAACAAACAACTCTAGCATAGAAATTGGAAAGGGATGAGAGTTAGCTAGCGCGATCTCTGGGCATCGTACCTGAAACGGAAATGATCTATTCTGCGCCGCATTATCCGTTGCTTGCCAAGCTGAAAAACAGAGGATGAAAGCAAAGCAATGGAAAGCAAACAACGAACAAGTTGCATATTGGGATTAGGTCTGCCTCTTTACTCTTACACACACGATTCTACTTTCCAAGGCTAACTAGCTGCTGCTATGGAAAAACAAGCACTCTTTTTTTCTTTTCTTTTGGTTTCTGCTGCATGCGGACCACCTCCTCTTCTCAACACTCAAACTTTACGATACATCCAAAGTTAACTCTTCTTGGGTTGCCGTGCAACCGCAGAGCCAAATATCACAACGGAAACGTCCAAACAAAGAAAAGCCTATTCAAAATGTTAAGGACTGAATAACCCGTATTTTATCATTGTTCAACAAAAAAAAAAATTGTTACTCGAGACTAAATTAGTCAACGTATATTTAACAATACGAAACATTTGAATCACTATTTTAATATAAAATACTCTATTGTTGATTTTTTCAATACGATTTTACAATCGTTTGGAAAAAACAAAAACTTCTTCATTAAGTTTCTGCATGCAAAGTACACTATCAATAGTCCACAAGATGAAGAAAGCTTAATTGATTTCCCCTCCTATGAATAAACAATTGCGGAGAAACTAGGTGCAATTACACCTTTTTCTAAAAGCGAAATACATTATTATTATTATTAATCAACATAGTTAACCTATTATTATAATGATACCATCTTTTTACAATTTGACGACTCAATTCTTCGACGGTAATTATATATATATATGTATCTCACAACAACCAACACCCTAACCCTCCTGACGAAAACTATTGAACAATAGAAACAAGACTAAAAATTTATTAAGAGAAAAATCACCCTCACCCCCCTAATTAATCGACCGCCTTCTTCTTCTTCTTCTCAGTAATCCTGGCGAGAGACTTGAGGTTGCAGCCGATGATGGTATCGGCAAACGAACACGTGTCCGCCTCACAGCTATCCTCAGGCACATCCACAACGTACGACTCGATCACCACCGTCGCCCCCTCCTCGTCATGCAAGGTGGTGGTGGAGCGGTAGTTGACGAGCTTGTGATCCCCGCCAATGTTGCTCACCACCATCACCTTCAGCTCGTCGTCCAGCCGCTCCAGCCGCTCCAGGCTGGTGTTGGCCGGCAGGCCGGAGATGAGCCGGACCTCCCTCACGCTGCCGACCCCTCCGTCGCCGGCGACCAGGCTGCAGCTCTTGATGAAGCCCTTGTAGGCCTGCGGGGCGTCGAAGCGCCGGATCACGGACCAGACGCGCGGCAGGGGCGCGTCGATGACCTGGACGATGCTCGAGCCGCACTGGTTCGGCGCCAGTGCCGGCTCGTGGTACCGGGTCATCATGGACCGGGTCTTCGGCGACCGGGTTCCCGATGAAGGACCTGCACTGGTTCGAGCCGGCCGGCGGCCGGTGTAGACCGTTTGCATGGATTCCGATTTGTGGGGTTGTGTCTGAAATACGAGCGAGCTGTTGGGCAGTTGGTTATATATGGTTTGTTGTTGTTGTTGTTGTTGTTGATGATGAGATGTGGGTTTTGTGAAACTGTGTGCTTTTTTGATGGCGGGCTTGAGAGGTTTTGATGGGCAAAATAGTTAAGAGAAGAGAGGGAGAGAAATTGGTTGGTTGTGGGCTGGCGATGATGCGAAGAGGGAAATGAGATGCATGCTCTCTCTCTCTCTTTCTTTCTTTCTGCCTGCTCAAAGCTCGAATGTTGTTTTTGCTAACATCATAGGGAGAGCTTTTTGTCCTTTGTGTTTGGGCTTCTTTAAGAATGGTGTCTGTGGGCACGCAAGTGAAACTTTTTTTTTTATTGTTATTTGTTTGGTTTGGTTTGGTGCTTTTGGTTCTTCTTTTGGACTGAGATGGATAAGGTTCAATATGGTAAAAAAAAAAAAAGACTAAATGGCAAGAGTCGGTGCTACTTTCCTGAGATTAGTCTTGAGGATCTGAACTTCTGCTCTTAGGGAGAAATTTGCCGTTACCTGCATGATTCACAGGAGGAGGAGAATGAAAATACCGTATCATACAAGATTAGTAGGGGTGTGTTTTTAGTTTCTTTTCTAGGCGTTAAGAGTGGTTTGTGAAAGGGGGGAGTAACAATTTATCACCTAAAGCAAGTTAATTATGATTATAGTAAAATTGATTAAGGATGTGTCAGGACAGTGGAAATATCGCTAAATGTCACCGCGCACATGCATGCATTGGTTCCTTCCAAAACTGCTTCTGAACTTGTTTGTCGTCTTCATAAGTCTCTTTATGGCAGGAAATCTGCTGGTCGCGGTAGTGATATGCCGAGTTGACTTTTTGTATTGATTAGCTGTGGATTTTCTCGCTCTCGTTCACATTACACCGTGTTTGCCAAGCGAAGTTAATTAGGACTCTAGTGCCATTGCATTGCTATGAAAGGGCGTGTGCAATCAGTGCAATCTATTTAAATTAAAAATTTGGAACCTCTCGATATTTATGGGATTGGAGATTACGAGAAGGTCAAGTGGGTTATGGTCTCTTGAGGAAAGTATAAGAAGTTCTCTCTGACTATAAGCTCATGGATTATAAGCCAATTTACACCCCCTAATGGATAATAAGCCGCATTAACAGGGGCTCCGCGCCATCTAGTTTGGCACTCAGGGTTAATTTGTATGGCAACGCTTTTCGAGAATAGCAAATTTGTGGCGAGGATTAATTAATAATTAGGAACAAAGGTGTCAGCTCCTTTTTCCAGGAGGGAAAAGAAGTCAAAAAAAAGTTCCCTCAGATTCTTCCGCAGGTGGGAAGGCAGATGCAATGAACCCGTTACTTTGACCCCACGGCCCGCGCGCACACAAACCATCTTCGTACGTACATCAATCAGAAAGCCAAATTTAGGGATATTGAGTCGAGTCCTACCGGATGACAGCCAAAAGTCCAGATTTCCCCCCTACTCAGCACAAGAGAATTAAGGCGTGGAATATAATACACAAAATTCATGGCTTCATATTGGCCGATCTTGCGGCTATGAAGGGGTAAGCAAATCTAGCTAGCTAGCACATTTTGTATTTCCAGGAAGAAGGATGATGCATGAACGAGCCTGGCTTACAGCAGGGTCCTTATCATATCATGCGCTAAGCTAGGTCACGTCAAGTTTCATTGGCCAGCAATCCAGATTGGAAAAGGTCGTACCCACCTATGTCATTCGCAAGAAAATATATGCACAACCTAACAATTTAGGGATGCCAATGGGTTGCCTTATTGGGTAATTGTACCCAATTATCATTAGTTATATGGGTACAATTCATAATTGGACACCCAAACCAAACGGTCTTATTTGCACTCTTAATAATTTTGGGTTTTAGTTTGAGTTCAATTTGGGTCAATTCATTTGGATTCACCCAAAACAAGGATCACGAGCAATTCGTGTTCTCCCCTCAACGATTCTCTTGATCCGCCAAACAGCTTGAATCGACATGTTTTTTATACAAGAATTTAACAGATGCGTATATCTTTTGATCTAACAAATAGAAATGAATCTCCTTTTGATCCACCAGATAAACGCAGGTCTAACATTCTGAGGTTAGCAAATGTGGGTCCAAAAAACTGATGTCCATCGTCTTGGAACCTGCACTCCGAGACCATACTTTTTTGTAGAAATGAAACCATGCTTTGATTCTTTTCAAAAGGAAAAAAACCATGCTTTGATACCACTTGTTGAAAGTTGAGACTAGAGAGCTCCACATTAGTACAGTATGGTCTAGTTCGGGTCAAACCTGCACGGGTTTACTTTTGGATTTCCTTCCCAAAAGGCCTCTTACTAATGATCTAGGTGGACACTAAACTAATGTCCACCATCCCGGATCTGCAATTTGAAACCAGGCTCTGATAACACTTGCTAAAATCGGGTACTTCATCAGTACGATATTCTCCCCTTTGGGCTAATCCTGCACAAATTTGTGTTTGGGTATCCTCTCCAAAATGGCGCGTACTAATTGGGCTAGGTGAACACTAATATACAAGGGTCTTTCACTTGTATTTCCGATTTGGTACTTGGATTGTCCCATTAGAGAACTCTTAAACTAAACTCTAAATTAATTTATAAATTAAATACTCTAATATATGCATGTCATGTATGCTACATGTGATTGATTTCACGATAAAAAAATAATGGTGAATATTTCATCTGCTATCATGTTCATATACTTTGTTGATATCATATTATTTAGTTCATAATTTTAAATAGCTCTTATCATGTTATTCAATAGTAATTAGTATATAAGAAAGCTGCACATATTTTCTTTTTTAAATTATAATTGAGACATATTTGCTCACATGTTCAAAGTTTTAACCATCATATGTGGTGAGATATATAGTTTAATATATCTCTCAATTATCAACCAACCAACTAATAAGACATAGATTGATTTACTCATAACCTAATAGTCGAGTTGGCTAGCATCGTTGAAAGAGTGCGTAATAAATCACTGATCAGGCGCTCTTGCGCCGAAGTTGAACGGGGTTAAGCAATCTGCCTGTTTGACCCGGATTAGTACCGGGGGATTTGTGCGGAACCTTGATCCGGACTCCCTCGTCTGATCTCCTCGGGAGAGGAAGAAACCTGTGGAGAGTCGGGGGCGGCCCCCGGGATCTACACTCCGACGCCCAAGTTAGAATAAGATATATGATAGAGTGTAGAGAATGTAGAGAGATAGGGTTTAGAGAGAGAACCATAAGTGGTAAAGTGAGGGAAGGGAGAGAAGTCCCCTTGCTTTGAGGGTCTGGCCTCCTTATATAGGAGTTGGAGGCATCCTGTGGACGCCTCCCGTTGTCATGGACGCCCCCGGTAGACTGGACGCATCCCGTCGATGGACGCCTTCCGGTGAATGGACGCCTCCCGGTGGTGGACGCCCCCGGGTAGGCTGGACGGCTCGCGGTGATGGACGCCCCCCGGGTGGACTGGACGCCTCCCGGTGTACTGGACCATAGAATGGGCTTGCGCCCAAGGTGAGACGCTTTGTGGTGGGCTTGGGCCCGTATTAGGCGGGTTAATACTAGACCCAACATTTGCCCCTTTGCTTCTTGTATTCTGTAAGAATGGAAGGAGTAAAATAATGCGTTAATGTGTATTAACTTGCCTTACTTGCGAGTCCGCACGATGCGGTTTTGCCCCTTGTGCGACCATTGCTCGGTGATGGATGCCCCTGGTGATGGACGCCTCCGGTGATGGACACCTCCGAGTGACACGATGCCTCCCGATGATGGACGCCCCCGAGTGGATTGGATCCTCGAGAGCCCGAACAATGCGGTTTGCCCCTTGTGCAACCATCATCTTTGCTTCTTTGTTTAGCATTCGATGTCTTGAGTTAGAGCTCTCAAGTCGTTTGAGATTTCCCCACTAGCCCATTGTTGAGCGTGCTAATATGTAGGCCGTAACTGTGAGCTGTGTGCGTTAAGCTGTTGGACCGCGAGACGGGCATGAGCTTATGTGCATGTTAAGCGTGAGTTGTTGGCTGAATATTAGGCGTTAGCTATGTGCTAGGGAGGGCGGCCCCCACGACTTGAGAGTTTTAACTCAAGGCGGCGTTTTTGTTTTGAAGATGCCACACCTGCTGGGAGGCGGGATCGTGTTTCTAGCTATACCGATGTCACGCCTACTGGGAAGCGGAATCGGGCTTCTACGTAGAGGGGAAGCATCACTGAGGAAGCGGGATGCGGTTTTATATCTGCGAAAGATGTGAGTGACTAGTTCCCAATATACTTAGAGTTTAAATATGAGCATAGGATGTAGTGAGAAATATCATAGTATGATATTAGTGGCGGTCTTCATGGCATAGTATTTGAATATATCTTAGAAGAAAGTACTTAGCTTGAGAATAAGTTGTAGAAGACAGCTGGGAAGCGGTCTAAGTAATAGGAGTCGCGTTCTAATCCTCAAAGCGGTCTTATAGTGCAGTGGTGTGTGCTTTGACTTGGCCAATGCTGGACACTGGTTCGAAACTTGTTGGACGCGTTCTTTTATTATTTTTGAAATAAACTCGCAGGGCGTTGGTCTTCTGTGCGTTGAGGCGGGCTGGATGTTGTTGGGCCGTCGAGGCGGGTCGAGGTTCCCAATGCGACGCGGGTTGGGCCGCCTTTCGGAAGGCGGGCTGGATTGGCATGAAGGCGGGTTGTTCCGGGCCGCCTTGGAGGTGTAGCGCAGGCCTTGAACTGAGATGAAGCGCGCTTTTCTTGAGGTCTGGTCTCTTATGCGGTTTCAACTCGGGCGGAGGAGGAGGGCCTTGCATGGGCTCTGAAGGCGAGGTGGCTGACCAGGTTGAGGTCTGTTCGGACGAGGCCGGGCTGAATGGACTTGATGCAGTGTGGGGCCAATTAAAGGGGACGCGGGTCTTGGTGGGCGGTTGGCGGGTCACGACTGCATGGGCCGTTGGTGGAGAGCTCTGTCGGGTCTTTGGTGAGACGCGAAACTCTGTGTTGAACGCGTAGATGGGCTAGAGGCGGTCCTGGGCCCGATGTAGTCAGGCGGCCCAATTGTTAGGCGGTTGTCTTTGAAGGCGAGTTGGGCCTAAAATGTTTTAAATACGAAGCATCCGCCCATATAGCAGACTTCTTCTTGTAGTCCATTAGTTAGCGGCTTTCCACTTGATCTGTAGGTGCTGGTTTCGAATCTCATCTTTGGCGGTTTTTGTGACAGTGTCGTTAGGGATGGCAATTTCGACCTGATCCGTTTTACCCGACCTATTTGACCTGTTTTGGGGCGGGGCGGGCATGGGTAGTCTTATCGACCCGACCTGCCCTGACCCGCCCCATTCTCGACCCGTTCTTGTCTAAATTACATGTAATTTTAGTCAAATAACTTAGGATTTTCCTTTTATTGCATCATATTTTAGCTATAAGAAAGTTGTAAATTAGTGAAAACCTCAATTTCTCCAATAATTTAACTACAATTATCATAATATTGTTTGTTTTCTTAGTCTTATAATAAAAATAACGAATATTTCTAATTTTTTTAATATAAATTGCATATCCATTGGGTCGACCTGCCCCGACCCGCGACCCGTGATCAATTACCCGACCTGGACCCGACCTGCCACGGGGCGGGTCTGGGTACCAGGAAACCCGCCCCCGACCTGCCCCATTGCCATTCCTAAGTGTCGTGGGCTGCAAAAAGAAGGTGGTCTCTCCTCTTGTGAGAGAGAAACTGACATTGATGTGACTCCACAGTGGGCTGCAAAAAGTAGCAGACAACCTGCTTTTTGGGGAAGAGAGAAAAGGGAAAGGGTGACAACGACTTGTGACGCCGGCAAACGGGACGGTATGTGGCGGAGGAAAAGGGTCAGCTCCGGTGCTGGTGGAGACCAACGGCCGGGCTACGGCGGCGAGCGCTACTTTGTAGTTGGAGAAGTGAGACTGATTTCTTTCAATCCTCGGATGGGATTTTGCGGTCGGAGCCGTCAGTGGTAATTAGCAGAGAAAGAATCTATTTTCTCTCCTCCTTCGGATACCAAACGAGAAGAGTACCAAATCAGGCCCCACGGTGGGCGCCAAAATGTTTGACCCGGATTAGTACCGGGGGATTTGTGTGGAACCTTGATCCGGACTCCCTCGTCTGATCTCCTCGGGAGAGGAAGAAACCTGTGGAGAGTCGAGGGCGGCCCCCGGGATCTACACTCCGACGCCCAAGTTAGAATAAGATATATGATAGAGTGTAGAGAATGTAGAGAGAGATAGGGTTTAGAGAGAGAACCATAAGTGGTAAAGTGAGGGAAGGGAGAGAAGTCCCCTTGCTTGGAGGGTCTGGCCTCCTTATATAGGAGTCGGAGGCATCCTGTGGACGCCTCCCGTTGTCATGGACGCCCCCGGTAGACTGGACGCCTCCCGTCGATGGACGCCTTCCGGTGAATGGACGCCTCCCGGTGGTGGACGCCTCCCGATGATGGACGCCCCCCGGGTGGACTGGACGCCTCCCGGTGTATTGGACCCTCGAATGGGCTTGCGCCCAAGGTGAGACACTTTGTGGTGGGCTTGAGCCCGTATTAGGCGGGTTAATACTAGACCCAACACTGACGAAGCTGTGGGATGTACAAATACATCAGTAGAGGAGCGTTCCTGCTCATAAGCTAATAGTCAAGTTGGCTCGCTAGCCATATAGGCATCTCATGAGTACAAAATGAGTCAACTCACAAATTGAGTTCAATAAAACACTGAGTCGAACTGGCTCACTGCCTCACAAGTTGAACAAGAGTTGGTTCATATTCAACTCGTTAAAATACAAGTCAAGTTTCGACAAGTTTTTATGAATCTAACATCGAGTCCCTTTTGAACAACTCAGCTGAGCCAATGTAGTTATGCTGCTCACAGCATAAAGTGTGAGTAGATACTCACACGGTGGATCTGTTGTCCACGTGGGCGAGGGTAAGATGGCGCCGGGTTTGGGTAGAGGAAGGTGAGCCGGTTTGGGTCGGCTGGTCGAACCCATGGCTGACCAAGCCCACCGGGCCCACAATTCAAAAATCAAAAATTGTTCCCCTCTCTCCCCTAATTCAGTTCCCCTCTCTGTTGCTCTCCCCCACTTCAACTTCCCCTCTCTCTCACTTCTCCTCTCTCTCACTTTCCTCCTCTCACGAAACCGACGAAGAACAAAGCTAAGCGGCGGCGAGGGACCAGCGGTGCGGCGGCGAGCGAGCGAAGCGGCGAGTGGTGCGGCGAGCGAAGTGGCGGCGAGCGGTACGGCGGCGAGTTCCTGTGGCGGCGAGCGAACCGGCGGCGATCGAAGCGAGATTTCGGCGGCGACGAAGGGCGGGATTTCGGCGGGATTTGGACTAAGGTAACTGTCTTAGTCTTATACTTTGTTCATGGATATTCATTTTCGCTTCGACAAATTTGAGTTAGGGTTTCATGGCTACGACTTGATTTGGGTTTTCCTTTTGTGGATTTGTCTTCATGGATATTTATTTTCGTTTGGACATATTTGAGTTAGGGTTTCATAGCTACGATCGGGTTTTCCATTTGTGGATTTGTCTTTTGGGTTCGTGGGTGAAATATTTATTTTGTGGTAACTTATATGTCACTGGATATGAGTTCGTTCTTTTGTGGGTGTTATTTCTGGGTTTTGTGGATTTGCTTTGTGTTCCTTCCGATATTAGTTCTGTTCGGCAAGATATGCATTCTGTTCCTTCTGGATATCCGTTGTTTTTTGCCTGGGTTGTTGTTTAATGTATCTTGATATTGGTTTTGTTTGAGCATGATATCAGTTATGACTTTCTTGGATAGTTGTTTGATAGGATCTGGGTATTTGTATGTGCAGAGATTTATCAATGGTGCACTCTAAATCTCTTATACATGTTATAATCTGTTTTGTGTGTGTTCCGATATTATTTATTTTGATTATGGATATCCATTGTATTTTGCTTGGATTGTTTCTTTGATATATCTGGATATTGGTTTTTACTCAGCATGATATGAGTTCTGACTTGCCTGGATAATTGTTTGATATATCTGGATATTGGTTTTTAATCAACATGATATGAGTTCTGATATGCCTGGATAATTGTTTGATATATCTGGATATTGGTTTTTATCAGCATGATATCATTTGTAACTTGCCTGGATATTTGTTTGATATATCTGAATATTGGTTTTTGATCAGCATGATATCATTTGTGACTGATCAGTTGTGACTTGCCTGGATAATTGTTTAATATATCTGGATATTGGTTTTTGGTCAGCATGATATCAGTTGTGATTTCCCTGGATAATTGTTTGATATATCTAGATATTGGTTTTTAACCAGCATGATATCAGTTGTGATTTCCCTGGATAATTGTTTGATATATCTGGATATTGGTTTTTAACCAGCATGATATCTATTGTGAATTGCTTGGATAATTGTTTGATACATCTGGATATTGGTTTTTGGTCAGCATGATATCAGTTGTGATTTCCCTGGATAATTGTTTGATATATCTGGATATTGGTTTTTAACCAGCATGATATCTGTTGTGAATTGCTTGGATAATTGTTTGATATATCTAGATATTTGTACGTGCAGGGATAAAACGAACGTGAAGAGACATCGACGAAATCCACCGCCGTCACCACCGCCACGGCCAGAGGAGGATGAGGAAGAAGAAGATGCTGAAGTCGCAGCGCAAGTACGTGCACAAGGAGTAAAGACCTTTAGATAGGGTTCAGTTTTCAAATACTGATTTTGTATCCGATTGAAGATGTTAGGAGTAAAGACCTTTGCCGCATGTTGTAGGAACGGGCTATCCTCCATCATAATATAAGGAACCGATTGTTTCCCATTGTAGTCTGACTCAGTCTCCTTGCGTCTTTTTTCAGCCAACAAACTACATTTACAAAGCACGAGAAAGAGTTTAGTGCCCAGACTAATATCCACTCAAACCAATATTAATATCTCAACTAAACAAAGTAATATTTAACAATAGCATATAAATATCCGGACAACGCTAACAAATATCCAAAATTTAAGTAGACTAATATCAAAGAAAGGCAAATAAATATTCTGCGTACCTGCTAAAGTGAATGAAAAACAAGTCCAAATCATTTTCAATAAAAGTCGCACTTGTGCATTGCACGACTCGCTGACTTGCGTAGTCAACGTCCCGACTGCGAATTGATCTCTCAACCATAAGGAACACCATCGACGACGAAAACCTACAAACATCCCTGCACAAGACAACTATTAATGACAATGCATAACTGAACGAGTGTAAAAAAAACTCAAGGGAATTATGAATTGATATTATGCCAACACATGTCAACAAATATCTGTAAAACCCAGACTAGTATCTCATAATGTCATACCAATATTCGTCCTTTTACAAAAACATATCCTATCAGGTCATGTCAATATCGGCCCAAATCATTTTCAATAAAAGTCGCACTTGTGCATTGCACGACTCGCTGACTTGCGTAGTCAACGTCCCGACTGTGAATTGATCTCTCAACCATAAGGAACACCATCGACGACGAAAACCTACAAACATTCCTGCACAAGACAACTATTAATGACAATGCATAACTGAACGAGTGTAAAAAAAACTCAAGGGAATTAAAAATTGATATTATGCCAACACATGTCAACAAATATCTGTAAAACCCAGACTAGTATCTCATAATGTCATACCAATATTCGTCATTTTACAAAAACATATCCTATCAGGTCATGTCAATATCGGCCCAAAAAATTGTTTTATGAGCCTTCGGCCCATGGGCCCTCGGCGGGCAGCCCTTACTAGGCTGCAAGCCCACCCCGAATTATTCCACTCTTCTCCCACTTTCCCGCCCAAAATTTCGGTTGCCCCAAAAATAAACCCACCTCCCGCCCAGCTCGCCCAAACCCGCCCACTTCCTCCGCCCAAAACTTCGGGCCGCCCAAAACCCGCCCAAAAAAGCGCCAGGCCTTCTCTCCCTCTCTCCTCTCAGCTCATGGGTCAGTGAGTATCTACTCACACTTTGACCTGTGAGCAGTTTAACTTTTTCGCAGCTGAGCATGCTAGTGCTAAGAGCAGCAGACTACCAATTGAACTAATGGGGAGGTGGGAACGTATGCCCTGGATGGTCTTCGACTCTAGGAAGGCCATCAAGGCCAGCGCCAACGCTAGAGAAGTCCCTTTGTTGTTTTTTTTAGATAAGGGTGATATATGTTACTTTTTTTTTGTTATTAGATACTACTGAAGGGACTCGAACTTGGGACCTCCAAGTTCATGGCTAGTGGTATTACCACTAGAACAATCTCTTGTTCGAGAAGTCCCTTTGTTGTTGTTCCGTTGCTGGTTGTTGTTGACATCCATCGTTTCAATTTCCCTTCTTGTTGGTGGGTTTATTATGAAGAAGACGGAGATAACAGAGATTTCCCAGCTTTTGTATGAAAATAAACTTTTGAGAGGAGAGAAGAGAGGTTCTACTGAGTCTATAGTCTATACCAAGGGTTGAAAAACCTTACCTGCAATTCGACTAGAAAACTTACTAAACTGGTATACACACTGTACACTAGAACCTGTTGGTTTCAAAGACCAAACCAAACTTTTAAGGACCCTTGCCGAATTTGGTCAACTGTTAGCCTAATAGTTCGGTTTCGGTTACAAGGAAATGATGCCTCACCGAATATCTGGCTATCCAAACTGGACCGGTTTAGCACCTACAATGTAAGTTAAGAGATTCACATACATGATAAATATAACCTATCACAAACTCGGTTTCGGTTACAAGGAAATGATGCCTCACCGAATATCTGGCTATCCAAACTGGACCGGTTTAGCACCTACAATGTAAGTTAAGAGATTCACATACATGATAAATATAACCTATCACAAACTCAGTGCAGCTCGGTTAAATTGCAATAGACGACTGAGCATCAAAGAGCGAACTTACTTCAACACAATCAGATCACTGGATCACAGAGATGACGAACCAGTACAGCCTTCGAGACAAAATAGTTTGTTCAGTGAAATGAAAAGTGTTGCACAGAAGTCAAAAAAGTACTGCGTCAAGCACAAGTATTTACTAACTGTACCATCTTATAGTCATCAAGAGATGGAGCAGGATCAAAGAACAGTTAAACCACACAATCATTGGGACCCATGACCATGACTAGGAGAAATCGTACCAGTAGCAGACTCTGGCACATAGAAACCCAAATCTAACTTAACACTTACTCTAATATTCAAACTGTCTAGCAAACCTCAAATCAACAGCCATGAACTCCCACTAGTTAATCAGCAACTCACTGCAGCCAATTTCAAAATTTGTAAGTACGTCAGCCACTGAGTATGAAAAACACTTGTATATCATAACCCAAAGTGTAATCTTGTAAAGACAGAAAGAAACCATTAACCATTTGCTTTGCTAAAGAAATGGGAGATAATGAGCTCAATCATAAACCAAACGAACAGATTGGGACACAATTGCAGGCATAGACACGAATTGAACTCAAAAGACAACATTTTTGCATCACACTTCCAGTTCAAGGAAGGGTGCCCGTTTTCATTTCTAGACATAAGCTGTATAAAACAGGTTGCAATGATGAATCAGCTATGCACCTTCCATAACTCAATGAACCCAAACTTGGGAGTCAACAGAAAGTCTCAGCATGAAATCTTATTGTCCTTCCCACAACTGAAAAACTGATATACATGGGATCAGTCAATAGGTAATCAATCAACTATTTAATCAAGACAGACACAGCCATTCTGAATTAATCTCACATTTGCGTTGCTGCAAAAGAAAACAACAGATGTGTACTAAACTCCATCCTGAACAAGTATGACATTTGAACACATCCAGCTATTGCAATTCAGTAATTTTTGCATCCATGATTCAACCCCACAGAACAACAAGGAACAGATACTAGTACAGAGACCAAGAACACTACCCCAAAGTTTCAAGGCCCTCTAGGCTCAGTTCCATGCTGCCAGACGAAAACCATCTGGTCCCATCCAGTACTCGCAACCAGGCCTTCAACAAGCACATTGAAGTCGACCCCAATAGCAAATTCAGAGTGATGATCGTACCTTCCAACCAGCGAATCTTCCACCATGAAATCCCACATACACACAGTCATGTCGTAGGAGCAAGACATCATCAGGTTGCGATGGTGCGGGGAGAATTTCACCTTCCTGACCGCGAATCCATGGCCATTCAAAGACGCGATGGGCACCCTGTAATTCCTCACATCCCAAACCCTAATGCTCTTGTCCACCGAGGAGGTAGCAATCAAGCACTCGTCGTACTTGTTCCAATCGCAGTACAGGATCTCAGCCTCGTGGCCCGGGATTATCATCGTGGATCCCGGCTCGCGCACATCCCAAACCCTCACCGTGCAGTCGCCGGAGGCAGAGGCGAAGACGTCGGCGTGCCTCGGGTTCCACGCCACCGAGTAGACGCAGTAGGCGTGTTCCTTGAAAGTACGGATGCTGGCGGGGCGGTCGAGCGACCAGAGCTTGACGGTGTCGTCCCAGGAGGCGGTGACGAAGGAGTCGCGGCGCGTGGGGTTGTAGTCCACCCCGTGGACTTCGCGCGTGTGCTCCTGGAAGGATCGGAGCGGGTTCTGCGGCGGCGGGAGGTTGGTGTCGAAGAGCTTGACGGAGCCGTCGGCGACGGCGGCGATGAGAAGGGAGTCGTGGGATTCGGACCAGGCGAGATCGTAGACGCCGTCGGCCGTGTCGAAGGAGATGATCTCGGTGAGGGCTCCGGTAGGGGTTGGGGGAAGGGAGAAGACGTGGACGCGTCCGTTGCCGATGATACCGAAGTTCTGGGCGGTGGCGACGGCGAGGCGATCCTCGTAGAAGGGGCTGAATTTGACGGAGTAGCCGTTGAACGGCGTTTTGGAGACGTTCATTGTAGGGATTAGGAGACGGTGGCGATTGGAAAAGAAGGAAGGATTTGGGAGCACCTGTTCTTCCTCTTCTGACTTTTTAGCTCAGCCTCGCACAGGTAATGGTTATGGGAAATTGGAAGTTAGCGTTTCTCGATAAACTGGATCAAATATAAAAATCACGGCCCGATCCTTGAAATGGGGTCGGAACCAGTTTCCAGATTGGATTTTGGGCTGCCAGGAGTATCTAAATTCTAAATCGCGCAGGCTTCGTTTCGTGATGCGCCAATGTTCTCTGGGCCATTTGCCTCTATAGCAGTTTGGGCCAAGATGTACTTTTAGTTGCCCACACATAGGAGTGGAAATCGGTACGGTATTAGTATCCCAATACCAAATACTGAAATACCGAATTACATCCTAAATTCAATCCCAATCCCTAAATAATTTCGGTATCTCAATCCCAATCCCTAAATATTTCGTTATCCCAACGGTACTTCGGTATCCCAATCGGTATTATCGAATAAGAAACTAATTAGATTTGATTGCTTAATATAGGACAAAGAGACTAAGCAAAGAGTCTTGAGTTTGGGCAGAGCTAGGATATGGATAAGGAGAATGGAGGAGAGGTGACATCTCAAGTTTTTGTCATTGGTAATCTTTAATTTGTTGAATTGGAGGCTAAGAGAAGACCAATACTAGTGTTTGTTTTTTGATGTTATGTAAATAACAATAGATTAGTGGTTGAGGGTCGTGTAGTATTGAATGTGAGAATTTAGTTGAGAGCATAAAATACACATTAGCTTATATTTCGGTATTGTTCTGTATTTCGGTATATACCGATCCCAATTCTGTAATCCCTAATACCGAATAACAATTGAAATTGAATCTCAATCCAAATCCCAAAAAATAATACGTGTATTCGGTAATACCAATATAGAGAAATTCGGTACGATATTCGATAATATCCCAAATACCGGTACCAAACTTCCAGCTCTACCCACACTGGTGTTAACGGTTACATTACATCTCCCATGACGATTCACTTAAAATTGAGAAGTCCCAATTATGGATGCTCAAATTAGTCTTAAAATCCTCTTTCCTCGATCCAATTTAAACTAATTTCGTTAGTACAATCAATTTAACTATAAAAACATAATTTTCTTATACTCAACCAATGTGGTACTAAATTAATGTTTATGTGTAAACACCAACACAAGAAAACATCTAAAATATTCTACCAAAAAAAAAAACATCTAAAATATGATGAGATGAGTTAGATTTTTCAGATGAAAATGGAAAGACCGGTTGAGTTATATCCACGGTATAGACATCAAAGAATGTCATACCTCTTTCAAGGGACTGGGAATTTGTTAGATTTTAATTGTACAAAATCAAATGACAAATCCCTTTGTCTAAGGTAGGGGCCCTCCTCCCCAAATTTCACATGCTACTCACTAAAACACTCCTATACCTCACCAATTTAATGGGATGGGCCATCTTATATATATATATGGCTTTGATGGGACATTGCATTACCGCAAAACCAGACTATTTGCCTTCAATAATCTTCCCATTTGAACAGTTTTAACCACCTTATCGTTTTGTGTTGTTGTGCAAAACCAAAAACCAACAAGTGAGTGCCTACAAAACGTTCCATTGATCAATAATATGATGGGCCGATTAAGATCATGTTTTAATTTAGAGTAGGCATTGAACAACCAGGAAAGTAAGATCATTCTCCAATAACCCAAACAAAAGGTGATACGTAGACATTGGAGCCTAGCTATGGATCAGCTTTCCTTCAATAAATTTCGTTTCTGGGACAAAACATCTATCATCAGTTTTATGAGTTTGGTCGGAAATTGTGATCTAAACGGCCATCCTAAACATACATATGATGAGGTTTCAAAATAAGAAAACATACATATGATGAAAAGAGTTCACTTGTCGGGTTAGAATAAGAACTAGCTAGGTAGTAAAAGGCGGTAACACTCAATATTAAGATAACCTTTTTTTAAGCTTAATGTCTGTGACGGTATCAATTTCATAACAAGGACCATGAAGTATCACATCAGAAATTAGTAGTACGAAGCCTTATGGGAAAAAAATTCAAAAGTAAATTTGCGTGAACTTGGCCCAAAGCGAATAATATAACACTAATTGTGTGACCTGGTCTTAACAACTAGTATCAGAGTCAGATCAAGGACGGTGGATTTTAGAGTAGACCTTCATTTAGTGACCTCAAAATTTCATATTTGCATTTGTCTGGCAGATTAAAAGAGATTAGTATTTGTCTAGCGAACAATATCATACTAATTGAGAAATTTCTATAAAATATTTTTTGATTTTATGAATGTTATAAGTCAATCCAAGTACCACATCGGACATATAAGAGAAAGAACTCCTGTATATTAGTGTTAGGGCTGAAAATTGCCCATGACCCTGCCTGACCCGCCTTTGATCCTGTCTGACCTGCCCATGCAGGTCAAAATAAAAAACCAACCTGCCCCGCCCCTCATTCCTTTTTGACCCTCTCTGACCCATTAGGGTCGGGTCGGGTCGAGTAGTGGCGGGCCAGAGGGTCGACCCTGTGCAATCACAACTGTTTTTGAAAAATTATATTTTGCCCTGTGAAATCACAACCGTTTGAAAAATTATATTTTGGTACCCAAAATTATTTTTCTTATCATGTATTATCTAAATTTTAATTTTTTGTACAAATAGGTCCCAAAAATTTGGTGGAAAATTACGTTTTGGTACCTTTATATTTTGTCTCATACATTATAGTACCTAAACTTTTAAAAGTTTACAAACAATTCAAATATGTTGGTATGAGGAATTTCAAGACATTATGGGTCATATGGTCAAAGTGGCCTGACCCTAAATTGACCCTGACCCTATCTGCCCCGCCCCTAACCTGACACACCCCTAAACTGATCCTGTAGATAAATTGACACGTCCGGACCCTGAGGGTCACGGTTGGGGCGGGGCGGGTCAGTGGGTTTTTAAGGTCATACTTGCAGCCCTAATTAGTGTTCACCTTGTCCAATTAGTAAGAGATATATTTCAGAATGAACCAAAAAATAAATTCATTCGAATTGAACCAAAGCGGACAAGAGGTCTCAACAATCATATTGCAGTGATTATCATTACAATTCTGTGTCATGTCCGGGGTTTTTTAATTTTTCGTTTCGACCGGCCAATCCGGGTTAGTAATCCATGATTATGACTGTGATTACAAAAGTTGGCATTCACCTTGATTTGGCCGTGGAGTGTCGTCCGTCATATGCATCCGAACAAAATGTCCACCAAAATTCAACTGCCCAGCCCAGGCCAGATATATGATATGATCCACCAGCTCCATTGGATCCATCCCCCATTGAATTCGGCTACTTGCTTGTGCGGATGGACCCCGCTCCCCCACCCCAAAACCTGTTGTGGGCCTGGCCCATAAACATGTCAAATGCTGATTGGTACACGTGGACCCGTCGCTCAGTTTGCTGCGATGTTGATGAAAGAAAAGGAGGGGAAAAGGAGACTTTGATGTCCATCGTATGAAAGATGATGCAATTGGGGGAACTGGGAAGGAAAAGAAAATGATGATGGAGAGGGATCCAAAAGGAAAATTAAAAGGTACAGAATAAGGTGCAATTATTCATGCCATGAATTTCATTCCCCAAGCAAAAATATATATGGTCATATTCTCATCACACACGCAACAGAAGAATTTCACTCTTCACCCCACCCAATCATAATTCATGTGATAGGAGGTATGGTTGTCATATATGTAGGGGGTAATGGCATATCCGTATTAGCAATGAAGTCTCTCATAGCATATTACTGAACCAAATCGATAACTATGTTGCTGCATGTTTATTATTATTATTACAAATACTGAATATATAACAATTATTTGTTATCAATATGAATAATACATTCGGTCGCATTTGGTGGAGAGATGCATCAATCCCCGAGACATTTGATGGAAGGATAGTTTGCTTTTGGCACATGGAAATTGGCTTTGTAACAATTCCTAGTTCATGTTGTTGTTCTTTTGGTTACCAACAAACTTCTAAGTTAGTGCCATCATATCAAAGTAAAAAACCCAAGTTCTAAATATTAGGTCTTGATGGTCCCATGGTTATTTAACCTCCTCGATCTCCTTTAATGAAGTAGAGTAATCTTAGGATACAAGTATCCCAAAGAAAAAGGGTAATATGTATTTCAACCGCATGCAAATGCATTATTACAATGTTTCAAAAGTCCACATTATAGCATGAGGGTGGTAAAGGATTAATATGTAAACTCAAAAGAATCTCGTATCCAACACCCACTAGTTACTTTGCCCACTTGTTGGCTTTCTCGTCCATACATTGAAACAAAAATAAAAATCGTCTCAGGTAGCTAGATGGTGAAACTATGGTGTTCGCTATAGTATGTTGGTGATCGTGTGTTTCTTATTGTTACAGTTTCTTATTGTTACAAATAATGGGTATATAATAATTAGGGTTAATATTTTCGTATGGCCTGAACTTTGACCAAAGTAAACATCCTGGCCAATTTTTTCGATCTATAACATCCTGGCCCGAACTATACACCAAAATAAATAATTTGGCCAGATCCGACTTTTGACCGTTAACTTGGACGGTCAAACGCGTTGACCGTTAGTCAACGTGCCATGTCACTGCCAAGTCAGCATAAAATATTTAAAATAATTCACAATTTCCACACATTCCCTAATTTTAAATTATTATAAATTAAAAAAAATCATCTAATACCTTAGTTAAACCAAAAATAAAAAATGAAAAAATTAAATATTTATCAAATCTTATGACTTGGTAGTGACGTGGCACGTTGACCGTTAGTCAATGCGTTTGACCGTCCAAGTTAACGGTCAAACATCGAGTTTGGCCAAATTATTTGTTTTGGTGTATAGTTCGGGCCAGGATGTTATATATCGAAAAGATTGGTTAGGATGTTTATTTTGGTCAAAGTTCAGGCCATACGAAAATATTAACCCTAAATGAATAATTATTTGATATCGATATAAATAGTACATTCCGGAGCACTTGGTGGAGAGATGCATCAATCGCCCCGATACATTTGAAGGAAGGATAGTTTGCTTTTGGCACATGTAAATTGGCTTTGCAACAAAT